AAGAATAAGAATAAGAATAATAATAAGAATAAGAATAATAATAAGAATAAGAATAAGAATAAGAATAAGAATAAGAATAAGAATAAGAATAAGAATAAGAATAAGAATAAGAATAAGAATACGAATAAGAATAAGAATAAGAATAAGAATAAGAATAAGAATAAGAATAAGAATAAGAATAAGAATAAGAATAAGAATAAGAATAAGAATAAGAATAAGAATAAGAATAAGAATAAGAATAAGAATAAGAATAAGAATAAGAATAAGAATAAGAATAAGAATAAGAATAAGAATAAGAATAAGAATAAGAATAATAACAATAATAATAATAATAATAATAAAATAATAATAATTATTAAAATAAATAACTTTAAATTCCAAAATCCAATATTAACAAGTATGTTGGTTTTGATGTTTTGTTGTGTTTTGATATAGTGTGTTGTGTTGTGTTGTGATGAATTGCGGGCTTCCAATTACAGCTTGTGTGGAACACGTTTGTAATAAAATACTAGCTGTCTCTATCAGCACTTTTTTGTTTTGTTTATATATACCCAAAACCGCACTGATATTTTGTTTGAATGCTTGCTCACTTTTTATTTTTTATTTTGAGCTTTAGAAAATAATTTGCTGTCTCTGTCAGCTATTTGAGTTTTTTTCTTTATATTAAAGTTGTGCAAAAATCAACAAAAATCGAAAAAGCGCGCGCTATTTTCAAATTAATATTTTATGCACTTTTAACTTTTAGGAATTGTTTTTTTGTCCGAGAATGTTCTGTTTTTTATTTTTGTATTAATAACAAAAGTAATTCTGTTAACCCTTGCTAGGTAGTCACCTTGTCGTAGTGTAGGGGGTAATTGTGGACTGAAGCATGTCATATGGAAGTCATGACATGATGATTTTTCATGTGACATGATTCAGCACACAAACTAAGAACTGCCGCCAACGCACAGGTTGAAAGTAGGTATCTACGATTCCTGATCAGTCGTTGAGGCTAGCTAGTGGACTTTAATGGACACTTGCTAATTGGTCAGTCCTACAGGAAAGTGCGGCTATCTATCAGACCAATGACTCGCCTTCAGTACGGTCATGTCTCTGCTGTTTGTGGGTCGCCGATAGTCGGGCGGGGGAGAAGGAAAACTCCCTAGGGCAGGGTCTGTACATATTCTAGGCTCCCAAGGCTAGGTCTTGATAGACTGGAATATGAACATACCTATTGCCCCAAACAAACCCCCTAAACTCACAGTGGAACAGCTATGCTGGTGAACTTGCTTGACAGGGTAGAGTCAAGCTTAATAGCGAACTCCGTACCAGGTCTGGCAAACCTACGGTTTCAATTTGTCCTTCCCATGGGGGCGCTCATGGGTGACCAACCTGCACGGTTTATTTAAACTTACTTTGTATGGAACAAAATAACATTTTCAATTCTATGGACTGCACACCTTTAAATGTGCAAAATATGGTTTTACGCAGCCAAAACTTATCACTGAACGAGGGGGCAACTGGTACCATCGTCAATGAACAAATGGACCACGACTTGTTGGAGAGGGCACCTGGTCCTCTACCCGACAAGCCGGAGGAAATGGACATTCCACTTAGCCAAGAGTCGGCTGGGATGTCTATCTCTTCGGAACAGGAGAGAGATCTTCTGGAGCCTGGTCTAACTAAAAAGACTCAAACGAGGGTGAAGCTATCCGGCGCTGGACGCAAAAGGTTGAAGGCTTTACTTGCCAAGGGCATCCCGCTGGAAACAGCAAGGTCCTTGGCAGTAAAGCCGGCCACTGCGACTAACGAAGGGCAGGCAACACCAAAAAGATCCCGATCGGACAGCTCTACACCAACATCAAGCTCAAAACCGACAAAGCGGATTGCACTACAGGGCAAGAAAGTTGATAATAAATCAACAGTGCCTGCAACTGCTTTGCCGATTTTCAGTAGGATGAAGGAAGTAGAGACCTCACACGGGGGCAAACCTGGTCCCAGTAAAGAGGTGGCGACGGTATCTGTGGGGCAGGCTAAATACAGTACTTCTTCCGAAGACCATTGTTCAAAGCCTACCCTAGCAGAGACTGTTCGCTCTAAGAAGATCGGTATACTACCGCATAATTTCCCAGAGGGCATTTGGTCCAATGAGGAAATTGGGAAGGTGCAGAAATGCATCCTCGACAAGATGTACGAAACTTGTCGAGCTCCTGGGGTGAAGCCTCATTTCGCCGGTTACAGTCTAAAGCCCGGATGGTTTACCATTAACTGTCTGGACGACGAGACTGTAACTTGGTCTAAAGAGACAATCCCAGCCTTGAAGCCGTGGGAAGGAGCCCAGCTGAAGGTAGTGGACGAGGCAGAAGTGCCAAAGTCTGAAATCTATGTTGGCTACTTCCCAGGCTCAGCTTCCTGGCAAAGCGACCGTATTCTGGGAAAAATTGAGTGCCAAAATTCGGGCATGCGTGTCAGGGACTGGCGGGTACTCCACAGGCTCAATAAGGGCGATATCGTCGAGATGGCGATTGCTCTGGATCCTATGTCGTCCGAAATGGTCGGAAAGCTGGGCAATAAAGTCTTCTATGGACTTAGCAGTGCTGTGCTGAGACCAAGACATAAAGGAAACAGAGCAAAGGAAGTGGTTGAAGATGAGCGACCAACAACATCTGCGGCTTGTGCTCAGTCAAGCAACCAGAAGCCGAAAACGGGTCTCAATTCCGGGGGACCACCCTTGAGAGGGGCAGAATCCGTGCCCAGGGCCGAAAACCTTCCGCTCTCTCTGGTCGTCTGAGGAAATGGGAAAGAAAAGACCCGGAGGCCGCGGAATTGCTGCGCGGTACAAAGGGCGGCAAGGTCCGCAAGGGCCAGTCTGGGATATAATGTCCCGGACTCCGCCACATCCGCAAAACTCTTGGAGGCAACTTCATTGCCTCCAAATCAACCTCCACCGGGCTATAGCAGCTTCATACAGGCTCAGTGCCCTGGTGGAACAACACTGTCTGGATTTTGTGGCCATCCAAGAACCATGGGCCACAAAGGGGCGCATAAACGGTCTACAGACAAAAACGTGTAAGTTAATCTATGATAATAATGTTGATCGTCCTAGAACGGCGATAATGATTAACAAAACCATTAAATCTCTTCCAATTACAGAGCTCATACAGCGTGATCTGGTGGCGGTACAGGCAGAAGTGCCTAGTACTAGGGGGACGAGAATAATAGTTTTTGCATCTCTGTACCTCCCTGGCGACGCAGAGGAAGCGGTGTCTCTCGAGTTCCAGCAGCTTACAGAATACTGCCGTATCCGAAACCTACAGTGGGTAATGTGCTGCGACGCCAACGCACACCATACAGTATGGGGAAGCACAGACATCAATACACGAGGTGAGTCACTTTTTGATTATATCACAACTAACAATTTAATGGTAGTTAATAAAGGTAACGAACCTACTTTTGTAAATGCGATAAGGGAAGAGGTATTAGATTTCACTTTAGCAAGTGCATTTATATCAAATAACATTTCAAATTGGAGGGTGTTAGAGGAGAACTCCTTATCAGATCACAAATATATACGCTTTGATTTGGAAGGGGAAGTTGAAGACACTTTCGAAATAAGAAATGTTAGGAAGACCAACTGGTCTCTATATAACTTCTATTAAGAACAAAACATTAGTTGTCTTGGGAATAGGATTACTAATTGTCAGGAACTAAATCTTGAGGTTAACAAACTAGAAAATATTATTACAGGGGCTTTTGAAAATAGCTGCGAACTTATCAAAAAGAAACGTTCTAGGAACGTCCCATGGTGGAATAGGGAACTAGATACTTTACGCAAAAAAGCCCGCCAGCTCCTTAATAGAGCCAAGTCCAATGGGGACTGGGCATCTTACAAGTGTGCCTTAACGGCTTACAATAGGGAATTGAGGAAATCAAAGAGAGAATCATGGAGGAGGCACTGCGAGGAGATTGAAACACTTCCTGCGGCTGCGAGACTCCAGAAATCTCTAAATAAAGACCACTCAAATAGCCTCTCTACATTAAAGAAGGCTGACGGAAGCTTTACGGTAAGTCTGGAAGAAACGGGACAGCTTCTGCTGGACACTCATTTTCCAGGCTGCGCCATGTATACTGAGACTACGGAAACCATCGAGGATACTCGTTTCTTATTGGTTACACGAAGAGATCTTTCACTGGCCCGTAAAATCTTTACAGTCAATAAAACTAAATGGGCCATTTCCACTTTCAGCCCGTTTAAATCACCTGGTATCGATAATATACAACCGTGCCTTCTTCAGAAAGGCGTTGATATATTAGCACCGATATTAACAAACTTATTTAGGATAAGTCTAGAATTAGGCGTAATACCTAAACATTGGACGAAGGCTAGGGTAGCTTTCATACCGAAAGCAGGCAAAAAGGCGGACCACACGCCAAAAGCTTTTCGGCCCATTAGCCTTACTTCTTTCCTGCTTAAAGCAATGGAGAAGATTCTAGATCAATACATCAGGGAAGTCTATATTAAAGCTTCACCTCTACATATTGAACAATATGCTTATCAGTCGGGCAAATCGACCGACACCGCTATACATAGTCTGACGAGTAAAATCGAGAAGGTTTTAGACGGTAAGGAAATAGCTCTCTGCACATCGGTTGACATTACAGGAGCTTTTGATAATGCAACATTCAGATCAATTGAGGCAGGAATGGTCAGGAAAGGAATACATAGACTGATCATAACATGGATTCTCAATATGCTGAAAAATAGGACGATAATCTTTGAAATGGGGACGAAGAGATTAACTGTCAAGTCAACCAAAGGATGTCCTCAAGGAGGCGTTCTTTCGCCACTCCTATGGCTATTGGTCATTGACGAACTCCTACAGTCTCTTGGTGACCTCGGATATGAAGTTCAGGGCTTTGCAGATGATCTAGTCATCATGGTTAGAGGCAAATTTGACTCCACCATATCCGATCGTATGCAACTAGCTCTTGATATCACTCAAAATTGGTGTCAAGAGAAAGGACTCTCGATTAATCCGAATAAAACAAATGTAATACCCTTCACCAGAAGAAGGAAGATGAGTCTAGGGACCTTAAAGTTAG